TCTTTGCCCGTGATCACGTAGAGCAGAGGGTTGAGGGCACTGTTGAGGCTGGCCAGGCCCCGGGTTACCTGGTAGGAAACGTAGATGTTCTTTGAAGCCTGTGTGCAGAACCCTTGCAGCTGCCAGACACGAGACAACAGATTGAGGTTCCTGAAGATGTGGTAGGGGAGGAAGCAGATGGAGAAGAGAACCATCACGAGAACCACCAGTCTGATGCTTCTTCTCCTGAGCTCGAGGTCCATGGTGTCATTCCTGCAGAGCACAAACACCACGTGGCAGTAGCACCCGAGGATGATGAGGAAGGGGATGATGAACCCGGTCAGGGTGACAGCCAAGGTGTAGGGCAAGTAAACGTCCAGCTTGTTGTGCCCCGTCGTGTCGTGGCACCGCGTCCCCGTGTCATCTGTCTTGCTGAAGGCAAGATCAGGAGCTACCTGGGCAATGACCCATGCCCAGACTGCCACGCTGAGCCACAGCGAAGAGGTGGCCCCCTGGCACCGGCCCCGTGCCTTCAGGGGGTGCACGATGCCCAGGTAGCGGTGGATGCTGATGCAGGTGAGGAAGCCGATGCTGGCGTAGAGGTTGAGGTGGAAGAGGCTGCGGGTGGTCTGGCACCAGCCCTGCCCGAAGAGCCACACTCTGCCTCGCAGGTAGTAGCTGACGAGGAAGGGCAGGGTGCTGACGTACAACAGGTCTGCCAGCCCCAGGTTGCCCACCAGCAGGCTGAGGGGCTGGCGGGCGCCCTGCCGGTGCCCCCTGCAGAAGTGCCACAGCCCCATCCCGTTCCCCGCCAGCCCCAGTGGGATCACTGTCAGGTACACGGCGGGCAGGAAGCGCTGGGCAAAGGCAGCGTCCACAGGGCATGAAGCCCCGCTGCCATTGCCGGGCCACGTGGCAGCAGCCATGGGGAGCTGCGGCAGCCCTGCCCAGGGGCAGGCGGTGGCAGGGCTCGGAGGAGCCGATGCCCACAGCAGGGTTGGCTCCAGCAGCGCCGTGCCCAGAGCCAGCCCTGGCAGCGCCGTGTCCTCTGGCACAGGCTGCGGCTGCCCTCACCTCCCTACTCCTGCTGAACCCGGACTGGCCTTTGGGGTGCTGGGCTTTTCCCCGGAGCATGGGGAGGATGTGGTGAGGGCGGCCCCAGCACAGAGCCGGGGTGACTGGTGGCTTCCGCCACTCCTTCGGCGCCTCCCACCAGCCCACTTCAGATATTTTGAGCCGGGCGCCAGGGACATCACAGCCCCTTGGCTATTTTGGGTGCTGTGTGTGCCTGAAGGGAGTGGGAAACGGAGCAGAGAGGTGGGAGAGGGGCTCTGCTGCAGAGATGTCTGATGAGGGGGGCCAAGGCTTTCAGCCTGTTCCTGTTCTGTCCCACTTGGGGTGAGAAGAAACGTCCCAGTTTTCCAGACCGGGGAGCTGGAAGCCTGCCCCCCATGAGCTGCCCTCACTTCCATTCCTGACAGCCTTTCTCCTGGCTCCAACACTCAGAAATACCAGCAGCAGAGTTAAGGCAGAGACTGGCAGCGTTCCACGGGGCTCATGCTGCTACTCCCACTCCAGCAGAGCCGGTGGCACGGGCAGTGCCAGCAGGCAGGGGTGTGGCAGGCTGCCTGCCCCCAGCATAGGCAGCAGTGACCCCATCCCTGCTGAAGAGCTGTCTCTGCACTACAGCTGGTCCTGCTGCCTATTTCTATATCCCTCCCCAAATACAAACCCCCTTTTCCCCCCACCTCCTTCAAGTGGTTTAGACCCATGCAGGGAGGACATGCAAGATGGGCTGTGACCTTCCTCTCCTGCCTTCCCTGTCGCAGGGGATGCCACACAGAAAACACTCAGATACTGTGAAATTGGGGTAAGAGCTAAAACCAGTGACCCCAAAGCAGACCCCAAGGAAAGGCAGCCTCAACTGCACTGCTGAGCTGCTGCTGCATAAACAGGGCCAGAAATAACTTATCTCCAAGCATGGGAATCGACAGGGCAGTAACCAGCCGGGTTTACCCTGGCAAGCCTTACAAAAACAACCTTGGGAAAACAAGTTCAGGTGAAAAGGGCTGGGCCCAGGAAGGGCAACGTCCACCTGCTTTCTGGGAGCTGGATCAAAGCAGGGGGTGGGAGGAGGCTGAGAGCTCAACTGCCAGTGGGGAGGAGGAGGGTGGGTCCTGCCACGCCATCCTGGCTGCCTGTCCCTCCTTGGGAGCAGCTGAACATCTCCACTGGGCCATCTTTGGGCACGGGAGTTCGGGGACAGGGCGGGGAAACCCAAGACACAGATAGGGGGGGAGGTGGTAGCTGCTTTTTGGGAGTATCAGTGTATTTGTCGACTTCAAAAAAGTGCTTGCTGGAGCAGATAAGTGATGGGAAATGCTGTCTGTTATTTCCTGCCTTTGTAATAAAATCTCGGCACTACAGGCATGATGGAGTGGCAGATTGTGGAAGCTGATTCCATGGGATGAGGATACACCTTTTCTGAGGTTTGCAGAGCCTCTGGTAGGTCTGTGCTCCTGGAGTGGCAGCAGTAGAGAAGAGAGTCCACGGGGGTGCCTCTCCAGGGAAGCAGTTCTCCATCCTTCCCAGCTCCCACCCCCTTCACCTCAGTGCACTTCAGCTGCTCCTGCAATCTGGGCTTGGGGTGGCACTTTAGAGCAGCTTTATGGAGGTGTGGAAGGGCAGCACGAGGAGAGGAACCACTGGGGAAACTGAGGCAGAGACAGCAGCTGGCTGGGAGGACTGCTGAGATCATGGGAAGGGTGGTGACCTGCTCTCAGCAATGAAGGCAAAACCTGCCCTGTCCACAAAATGAAGACTTGGAGCTGGGTACCTGTTCACTTGGCCCATGGTTTCACTTGCAATACAGGTGCTACTTCCAGCTCTGCCCAAGCATCCCACATCAGGATGCTCCCCTCCTGTGCCTGGCTCTGGCATGTGACAGTGCTGCTGCTGGCAGGGTGAAAATTCAGGGCCAAGACAGCTCCTGCAAACAGATAACCTGAGTGATGGGCTCCCAGGAAAACTGAAAAAAGGCCCAATTTTTTTAATTGAGTGCTGCGCTCTTGTGCTCAGTTTCTGAAAATGTTTTGCTTTAATGAGAGGCTCATCTGGCCCTTTCTCAGCCTTCCCTGTGTATTTAAAAATCATCAGTCACGAGAATGACTTGGAAAAGAAATTCTGATGCACGTTGTTTGCTCATGTGGTAGCACAGTTTCCCTTCAGCTGCTGCATGTGCTTGTGCCTAAATGAGCCGTGATCTGCTGCTCACCACTGGCTCAGGAGTGTGGTTGGCAAATCTGTGCTGTGTCTGTGTGCAGATGTGCCCTTAGGCCTTAAGGATAAGGGTGAATTTTTCTTCTAAGTTGGGGATTTTTATCTTTGTAGGTTACCAAAATCACCTGTGGATCCCCCACCCCAGCAGGCAATGACAGGACCCTGCGTCAGAGACTGTCATAAAGGTGAGCCTCAAATAGCTGTGTTTCCAGGGTAGCAGGGCTTTAGAGGGAATGGCAAATATTGTGAGACTGGCAATCAGATTGCAAGAGTTGCTTTCTCTGTGTTCTTAGGGAAAAATAACTCTGATTTATTTGGAAACATTAATTCATTATTTAGATGTTTTCTGCTTAGTGAATTGGGGAGAAGTGATATTCTGCAAGGAAAAAAAAAGAGGAAATTATAGCAGACGTGCACTGAGTCATTTGTTTGAGATGACAATTACAGATTGCTTCTTAAAAAGTGACCTTTTGATTTTGAGCATCACCCAGAGGTGGCTGGGCAGGATCTGGGAGGGGGTTACAGCCTTGGCAGCCCTCCCTGCCAACAGCTCACCCAGCCTTGGTGGCCAAGTCCCAACAAGTTCAAACAAGAACTGGCTTAAAAATAGGATTTTCAGTACACACAGTGTTTTATCCATGTCAGTCGAGGAACATGGTAGTTTTAAAGTCTATATGAGCCTTGTGTCATCACTTTTTTGGCAGAGCCATCACAGAGCTAAAAAAGCCAACCAAAGCTGTTTGCTCTGCGATTTGCTGCCTGATGGAAGTTCACCATATCCCCTGTATCAAACAGAATTAATGATTTGGATTCAGGCCGAGCACCAGATGATCACAGTAAATAATTCTCTTTGTAAGCAATGTTTTATTGCACAAGCAGTGAGGTTTCTTCTTGTTTCTTTCCCCCCACCCCTCACCCCCTGAAGTGACTGAAAGGCATCCTTGACTTCACTTTTATTTTCAGCCCTTGCAGAGCCCAGGGGAGTGGGTGAGCAGCTGCCTTGGCCTTGCTGCCTTTCCTGCTGCTGGTGAGGAAGCTTTTCCCTGGGCTGGAGAGCAGATCTCCCTCTGCCATTCAGCCTTTTGCCCCTGCACCTCCAAATCTGCCGCAGTACCAGTTGCCCTGGGTCGGGAGGATGGTCAGCTGGTGGCACTGGGGGAATCCCAGTCTGGGGGGAGCAGAGGTGGGCCTGGCAGGAGGGTGAGACGAGTCACAGGGGGGTTTGGGCACTGATTTTTAGGAGGCTGAGGAGAGGCATGGCCTGGGCTGTACCTGGGGCTGCAGACCCAGCAGCAGAGCAGCCAGTGCTGTCCTGCACATCCTGACACTGCCTGGAGACCTGGGCAGGGCTGTGGGCAGGGCTGTGGGCAGGGCTGTGGGCAGGGCTGCTCTCGTTGGCAGAGCTGGTAGAGCTGATGGCTGGGTAAAAGCAAAGGGTCATGGCTGAATCCAGGATATTATATACTCTAATAATGTGTTCAGTGCTTTGAGTGCTTTCTTACTCTAAGCAGCCTGAATCGAGGTGCTTCCAGGCTGCCCCATCCTGTGCCACTTTCCAGCTGGCCACGAGCAGCAGGGCTGGGCTCACCCTGCACCAGACAAGCTCCACACCTCGATCAGCACACCTTTATTTTTAGTTCCAGAAATACACGTCTCAAAAGTCCGTATCTCACCTGGACGTGTCACCTGCACCACTGCTCCTTGCGGCTGCCCCTCTGTCCCTGCGGTGGGACCTTCCCTCTGTCCCTGCGGTGGGACCTTCCCTCTGCACGCTGCTGCGAGGCCGTTAGAGGGCATTTGGGTTTCATTTTCCGTCGCCCACAAGGGTTACTGCCGAGGGAAAGCACAGCCAGAACCGCCGAGCAGCTCTCCTGCGCAGCTGGAGCAGCTCCAGCCCGTCGGGAGGCGGCTCCGACTCATCTTTGCGATTTTGTTTTCTCTTTCTCCTGCTTTTCCTTTGGCCCGGGCTCCCAGGGAATGTGCTTGGATGGCAGGCGGTATGTCTGGTGCCGCGGGACGGTGTCTCCGTCTGAGCTCCCCGCTCGCCGCAGCTCTGCCAAACCGCCAGCGCCTGGGAGAGGAGGGGGCCAGGAGGAGCGGGAAGGCTCGTGTTTGTTCTGGAGGGATGCAGGGAAGGTGAATTAGAGCTGTCAGCAGGAGGACCCTGCCCATGCCCAGGGAGGAGCCGCTGTTTGCGGGGTGGGTATCGTGGGCTGGCCGAGCTCCCGCACGGTGGAGCAGCTCAGCCTGGCACGGCAGTGACTTGTGGGTGCAGCCTGAGGTACCTGCTCCCTCCCTGGGGGGCCAGGGCGTGAGGGTTCCCTCCAGGGATTTGGGCTTCCAGGTGCTGGAGATGGCCTCTCTTGCAGAGCTGTGTGATGTGGTGGAGTCGCAGCATCACCTCTCCAGAAGCTCCACTGATCCAGGAAAGGACCAATTCCTGGCTTCTTGGGTGGGTTCATGCTTGGGGCAGGGTTTCCCCATTTCCCATTTCATTCAGCCTAAAAAACTCGGGAATGCTGCCCACTAACCCTGCCTGGGGCAGCAGGGTGCACAGAGGAGGCAGGTGCTGAGTGAGAGGGGGATCTTGTTCTCTATTTCCAGCCTCCTTTGCAGCCAAAGTCCATCAGTTCTTCTCTAGTTTCCTGATGGAAACTTCTCTAGTTTCTCCATCTTCACCAAAACCACAATGCCATAGGTTTGTGCCAGACTCTTTGCCGGGATGAGACGTTGGCTCCGGGATGAAACCAGGGTGGGCACAGCTACAAACGACCTCCTCTTCCCCTCTGGAAAGGCACAGTGCAGAATGATGGGGAGATAGAGCAGGATGTGGCGTGTTCTCTAGGTCTGGGGAGCAGGGGCATGTGGCAGCAAGGCTGTGTTACACTGTGTTCACACTGGGGCTGTGCCAGGCTAATAAAGGGGTGGCAGAACCACCTCTTGGGTGTGCCCAGGGAGCCAGGCAGGAGCTGCAAACGCATCTCTGGCCATAGGGGCAGACCAGGCTCCCCTGTGTGAGTTCCAGAGTGCTCCTGGATTCAGACATCCAGAGACGCCAAAATTCAGGTCTGCACCTGCCATCAGGTGTTTTCCAGGCTGAGTTTCAGGAGATGGTTGATCTGTCCCTGAGACGCTCTCAGCTCAAGGCTGAGGAGGGGTGATGGGGTGCCCGCACTTTAGTGGGGGTCTCGTGTTTTCGTGTTTGGCTGGCTCTGCTCTTCCCTTTGTCTGTCAAACCCGTTGCCCGGAGGCACCAGCTCCACCCTCACTTACCGCCGGGAACGCTGCGGGCAGGGCAGGGCAGGGTCTGACCACGCAGAGCCGCCTCTGAGTCTCCAGCCGGCAGTAGCGGTTCTGGTTGGAGACGCGGGTGGCAAAGCCCACGCCACAGGTGGCCGAGCAGGCGCTCCACTCTGTGCTCCACTCCTGGCAGGGGTATGGCAGCACTGGGGACAGTGCCCCGGGGGCTGAAAGATAAGAGAGGAGAGGATAAAGGGTGGTTGGAGCCAGGCTCTGTGCAGATGCCCTGCGGTGCTGCGGGCAGAGCCCCGCGTGGCAGAGGAATGCGAGGGGATGTTTCAGAGCCTGGGGTGAAGGGGCCATCCCCAGAGACCTGCCCGGGCATCCCCTCCCTGGAGGTGCCCTGCATCTTACCTGCCCTGGCATCCCGGAGGAGGTGCTGGTCCTGGGCTCCACAGATCCACTCGGGGCAGCACTTCCCTGGGATCTCCACACGCCGTGGGTAGGGGCAGTCCGGGGTGGGCAGCCGCACGTCCTCCTGGCACAGCGGGATGCAGGTGAAGCCCCCGTCCAGGCAGCGGCACTGCAGTTTGCAGCTGGGCTGGAAAATCTCTCCATCTCGATAGACCCGGCCGTTCACCTCACAGCCCTCCTCGTCATCCTCGACTGAAGTGACAGACAGGGAGCCCGTCAGGGACAGAGTGACAGAGATGTGAGAGGCAGAGGGACTGCTGGGGTAACTGTGGCGCTGGCACGAAGGGAGTGATGTGGGGGAGACACAGAAGTGACTGAGAGGTATGTGGGGCAGAATGGGTGTGCAGCAGCATGTTCATCACCAAACCTCCTCCCCTTCCCTACCTTCCCTCCTCATTTCTCTGTGTTTTCAAAGGAACAGCTCACTAGCTGGTGGGAACCCCCCTGCCCTTTGGCTCTGACCCTGCCTTCAGGGTTTTCAGGCTAGACAAAGTTTCTCTGAGATTTCTCTGCAGGACCCCAGGCTCCAACTCTGGCTGGGTGACTGCAGCATCCCTGGGACCCCCATGCCCATCCTCGCTCAAACCACCCCGAATCCTCAGTCAGAAAACAGTGCAAGAGCTGGCAGCAGCTGCAGCACAGCCCCATGCCCAAGCTGTGTGTAAGTTCCTCAGAAAAGCTGCTTTCCTAGTCTCAACCACTTCCCTGAAAGTGCTGTGGGATGCCTGCAGCCAGCTGAGGCCATGGGTGGAACTGGGGTGTGGGGACATCCCCGGCGGGAAGGGGCTCCCCTGTGCTCACAGTTGCAGGTGCCTCCTGTCCCGGCCGGTGCTGTGCTGTAGTCACAGACGAGGCCCTGGCTCTGGTCGCAGACGTGGAGGAAGTCACAGGGCTCCCCCAGGCGCCGGGCACAGATCTTGCAGCAGCCACAGCCATCCAGAACCAGGGGGGACCCGCGGGGGCAGCGGGGTGGCACCCAGGGGCAGTAGCACGGTCTCCGGCACAGCTGGGCACACACCTGTGGGGCAAAGGCATTGCTGATTCCAAAGGGGTTGGTTTTGGCTGACAGGGAAATCACTGGGACAGACAGGTAACCTCTCAATCACGAGGGCAGATTTTCAGTGGAGGAAGGCTCTGCAAATCCATGGGAATATGGTGAAGCAGCCTGGAAAGCTACTGTCCCCTTTGAAGGGCACCTATGGAAAACCAAGGAGAATCAAGGATGCTCAGCACTCTGCAAGATTGGGTCTTAAAAGTACCACTGCTCTGAATACACAGGAGGAGGATGGAGCTAAAAGGTGAAGATCCCGTGCAGTGGTGGTTATTTAACGAGCTCAGCAGCCCCGAGCAGCCCAATGTGAGGGAGGGAAAGCAGCTCACCCCATGGCTGCCCCTAAGGCAGTGGGTGTGCCCAGCTGGAGACGGGGCTTTGCAGGGACTGAATGCATGTGAGGAGGGCTCAGCACCTCACTCCAAACAGTCTTAACAGCTCTCATTCATGCCAAGAAACAGGACATCACATTGGCAGCAGGGATCTGATGCCAGGCAGACATCACTGCGTTCCTCCCTGATCCAGCTGCAGCCTCTGCCTGTCCCTGGCTGCAGGATCCTCACCCAGCCTGGCCCACTGGGCGAGGAGCCCAGAGATAGGCACGTTTCTGTGGACTGGGAGCTATGTTTTCCCTCCTGGCTAGACTGAGTAATCACTTTGGCAGGACTGTGCACTGCAGTCCTTTGCCTGCTCAGCCAGTTGTCTGCCAGGGATGTGCCCACAGGAGTTCACCTGGGCAGGGGGGTGTTTATCCCGTCAGCTCATCCTGCTTGCACAACCACCCTGGCACACCTTGCTTTTGCAGGCAGCACCTGTGCTCCCAACGTGTCATATCCAACAGGGCTGTTTCATACTGAGCCTGAAGCCAGAAGAGCTGGCTCTGCGGTTTGGAAGTGAATTCCTTGCCTGGCAGTCTGTGTGAGCCCCCTGGCAGCTCCAAGCCCCCCAGCAGCCCTGCTGCTCGGCACCATGCACGTGCTGCTGGATGCAGGGCCAGCACATGCAGTGCAGCAAACATGCAACCAAACCATTCACCCCTGCCCTGGTCCGGGTGTGTGTGCTGAGCCTGCTGAGAGAGCGATGGGTTCAGCCACAACGTGTGGGTTTTAGAGACCATTTTCCTTTCTTTTTCAGCTTCTCCCAGTGACATCAGGTCTGACATGATCAGTCAGACAGAGGAGGTAGGTACGGGTGTGCTGTTTCCCATTTGCAGCCATTCAGATGTTTTTTATGAGGCTGTAGAAGTGTCAGTGCCAGCAAGTGGAGATTAAATATATCCAAAATGGGCTGCGTCTTGTTCTGGTTCTGTCAATGAGCAGCATTATTAATGTGGCAGAAACCAGAGAGAGACTTGTGGCAGGGACCAAGGGACTGTCTGTGGTGGCCAGGTTTGGGCTGGCAGCACGAGGGCCTTTGGTGATTCTCACAAGCACCTGGGGCCAGAATAATTTCTCTGTCACAGCTTACCCAGACAGCCAAAGGCATTTTTCATCTTTCAGGAGGTTGCTATTACAAATCGATGTTTTAGAAAGATTAGCCAAGCCATTAATGCATTTCCCTCTGCTCCTTGTAATTTACTTGTCTTTAGATGACAATGTGGCTCCTATCAGAGATCTGAACTTTCTGGAAAAGGAATCAAATAGGCACAATGTTGCCACGACATCCCTGCTCGCAGAAGGTCTGCGTAGGGATTCATGCAGCAGCTCTGATTAACTTGGAGCTGAGATGCCCTGAACTTTTCAACATTCCTGTTCTCTGCACAGGCAAATATTTTCACACAGAGTCCAAGAGAAAGAAAAAATAATAAACCCACTACAACAACCCAAATCCTGTCAGAGGCATTGGCTTGGCATGAGCGTCCTGAGAAGCAGGGAAAGCTGAGTAATGCCAGGGCTGCTTGGCCACTGCCTCGGGAGCCTGGGCGGGGATGGAGGAGCCTGCAGGAGCCACTACTGCCGAGCTGCTGCTCGCTGCCTGAACATAGCACAGCCCAGAGAGTGGCAGGGACAGCGAGCAAACAGCACATTGCTGTCATTCCTGTGTGCTCCAGGGACTCACACGGCAGAGCCTTAGGCCCATGAACGTTCACACCCTGCTGCTTAATCTCGACTATCTCTCCCAAGCAGAGCTGTGCCCCCCCTGTAACTGCATCCACACAGCCTGGCCAGCGTTAGCCAGCGGGCTCGTGGTGACACCCCAGTCCTCCCTGCAAGACCCGGGTGCTCCACGGGTAAGGCTAAAGCTACCCCAGTGCCCCGTCTCCCTTACCTTGGAGAGGATGCAGAGGAGGGAGAGGAAGAGAAGCTGCTTCTCCAGCTGGAGCCTCATGCTGCTCTCCCTTCTGCCACTTCAGCACATCACCCCCCAGGCAGTTTGGAGGCAGCAGCGTGTTCGCAGGTTTTAAAGCCCGGAGTAGGTCCTGCTGGTGTTTATACTCTCCCTGCTCTGATGTCACTCACAGGCTCCAATATAAACATGAATAGGTTTGGACAAGCCTCAAGATTTCCTTTTTTTTTTTTTCCCTTTCTTTTTCTTTCCAGCCCACATTCCAGCTGCCATTTCCACTCTCCTCAAGGTGAGAATGTGCTTCCACCGAGACAGTGAGCAAAGGGAAGGGACACTGCGCTGTCCCTGGAGAGCAGGGGAGAGGGGCTGGGGAACCAGGCTGGTGGGGTGATCCAGCTCCTTGCCTGGGAGGGAAGATTCATGCCTCATCCTAATACTGATCAAGGTCTGCCCAAGCAGAGCCAGAATCTTCCTCCTGGGATTTGGAGGGATTGACAGGGCTGTCCCTGCTGCTGCCCTCAGACAATGCCATGGCCACGCAGGAGCAGGGCACCCACCCCTATATTTTGTGCTGAACCCAGTGCATGGCAGGCTGTGGGAGAGGGGTGAGATGACCAAAAGAGCTGGAAAGGGATTTGCTGTGGTGGTTGTGATGTGCTGCCACATCATCCCTGTCCTGAGTGGGGCTGCAGCCACCTAGGAAGGCTGCTGGGTGGGAGGGTTGGATGTACATTGTGTTGCATTGTCCTGGGTATGTGATGCAGGGAAAGCTGCAGTCTGGCTCTGCTGAATTCAAGCCTTGTAAATTCAAATTCAGCCCCTGAAGTATTATGATCATCTTAAGCAGTTGTGAGAATTAAAAATCCAAGTTTGGGGAAAAGAAGCAGGTGCTCAGTTATTGTCTCCCAATGCTTTCTCAGTCTGCCCTGTGTGAATTTTCCTCTTGGCTGCTGTGTCTGGGGCCACAAGGCTGGCTCTTAGGAAAGAAAAACTTAAGCATTTCAAGACCTCCAGGAAACAGCCCCTTCTCCATGTTTCCATTCCCCAGATCTTATCATGAGATATAAGAGGGGACTTTGTGAGCTCAAAGCTCAGAGGAAAGGCCTGAGTGTAAGGGTGCAGGATGCCCTGCAGCTCTCCCTGGCTCCTCTCCTGCACCCCTGCCCCTTTTCTGCAGGATGTGTTCTGGGGCTGGGAATGCTGCTCCTGCCCTGGCTCAAGGGATGGATCCTGGTGGCTGTGTACAGACTTTCCATGTCATTCAGGCATGATGAGCTCTGCTGCTAAATACCAGATACTACATGTTGGCAAACACACAGGAGGGGCTGGGTGCCATACAAGCAGAGCACTGAAATCACACAACTAGGAACGACACCCCATCCCTCCCTCCAGCCTCTTTTCCCTTCCTGTTGCTTTTGTGAAACAGGTTCTCAGTCACCTGAGCAGCAGTCCCGACCTCAGCTCTGCACTTGCCAGACCCTGGAACCCTGGGCATGGAGCAGGGAGGGCAGAGCTGGGCAGGGAGGAGCACAGACAGAGCTCTCCCATTACCACCTCAATTCTCTGCTTTGGTTTTGCTTCGTTAGCTGCAGTCAGGCTGTTAACGAGCTCATGGCAGCCTGTGGGAATGCCAAGCCTCATTCCAAAGGCTTCTGTCACTTATCCCAGCGCTGGAGCCTCCACAGGTTGGAGCCCCAGTTCCCTGCATCACCTCCATGCCCGGAGGTCTGACCTGCACTGGCAGCCCTGCCTGTGGCAGAGGAGGCACGAGGATGGCACTTCACTCTGAACTCACTAGCAGAGGGGTCAGTCCCCACTGACAGGTGCTCACAGCCCCACAGGTTTGATACTGAAGGTTGGATCTCATCTCGTGCTGCTGCTTTCTGCTCCAGGGCCAGTGCCCTCGGGCTGGCTGTGGCTCGGACAGACATCCCGGGGTGGCCCAGGAGCAGCCAGAGCACTGAGCCAGCCTTGCTGCAGGGGGACAGGCAGCTCAGTTAATTATTCCAGGCTTGTGTTTATTAGGGACTCCTGATTAATGGGCAGGAGTTCATTTCCCAGTTAGAAATCAGGTGACAGTGCTGGTGACAGAAATAAAAACTTCTCGTTGCCCACAGTGAGTGACTCTGTGAGCAGCCAACAGAGCCCTGTGTGAGGTCTCAGGGGGCAGCAGGGCACCCCTGGGGGAGGCTGAGGCTTGGGGCTGCCCAGGGGAACCCACTGGCAATTACAGCCCTGACACCTGATGCATCCTGGGTGCAGGTTTGGCTCCTTGGGGTGGGGATCCCTTCTCCACCTTCTCCCTCAGCTCTGGACGAGAGGGGACATTGCTTCCCCCCCACACCTGATGTCACTGAGGTTTAGACGCAGCGAGGTGACATCTCTGCGATGGTGTGACATCACCAGGAACCTGTCAGAGCTCAGGCAGTGACAGAGAGCCCGAGTCAAGCCTGAGTCAAGTCAGAACCAAGCAGCCAGATGGGGCCAAACCCACCATCCTGTGCCTGGCCAGCTGCCCACACTTCCAGTGGCATTGGCAATCCTTGGTGGTACCTTGCTGGGTTTTGGAGGTGCTCAGTGGAGCCAGCTGGAGGGGCATCCACAGAGTCTACCATGATCTGCCTTCCCAAAGAGGCTTTTCCATGGGTGACATGGGCTTGAGCGTCCCTGCTCTGGTCTCTCTGTGTCCCACGTGCCCACCCAGGTCTGTGCTGGTGCTGCAGGGGCTACAGGCAGAGCCTGGCACAGGAATGCGGCCCCTGCTCAGGTTTTGATTTGCAAAGCTGCACCAGAACAGCACATTAGCAGTCCATGTTATAAATACCCTCTGGAGCACATGCTCCATATGTGTTCTGTACCATACGTGTGATTTCAGAGCTGGTAATTAAGTCCATATGTTTTGCTCCATGGTTTCCATGGTACTATTGTCAGGTTTTTTGGGGGATTGTGATTTTTTTTTTTTTGTGGTCAGTTGTGCAAGAAAATAGTTGATACAGGGATCTGAATACATCTCCTTGGAGTTAGCCACTGGCAAGCTCTGCTGTTTCTATACAAATGAAGGAACTGCCCCAGTGAATTTACATTTTAGAGAGCTGAGTTTTTTCACGTGTTTGCCATTTAATGTGCCATCATGAATAACATGGCAAAGCTCTCGTTTTGCACACCTTGCTGAGCTGAAACTGCATCCATCTGGGATGGGTATCCCAGACCATATTCTTGTTCCATCCCTTTCCTTTGCTCGAGGCTCCTCTTCTTTACTTCGTGTGTGGAACCCCCTCCCTAGAGCTGTCTGAACTCCGACTCTGTCTGGGTGTCCGTCTCTGGCAGGGAGCACTGGGGCTCTCCTGGGTCCTGGCTGGGTCTGTTTGCCCTCACATCAACAGTGAAATCATGGGTCTGGGGTGAACCCAGCTCCACACCTTGGTGGGGAGGACATTTCCTTTGCTTCTGGGTACTCCTTTCTCAAATCCCCGCTGCAGAGGAGCAGGGCTGTCTGTGGAGCATGGACATCACCAGTGGCAAAGCTGGACAGACATCCAGCTTGGCAAAGCCAAGAGCCCTGAGCTGAAAAGGAGGTGCCCCAGGTCTCCCTCGGCTGTTGGACACTTTAGGGTGGCTGCTGGATGTTTTTCATGAGACTTCTGGAAACACCATGGCTTTGGGAAATTTTGAAATATCTCTGCTTTTGGCAGGATGGGAAGGTTGTTTCCTACCCAGAATGAATCTGGCTCCAGTTTCAAACAGCAAGAGCCGAGAGAGGTGGTGATGGCTATTTCCAGCTTTGTCTGGGCATTTTTATTCCCTCTGGTTCTCACACCTTAACTGGACAGCAGGGCCAGGCTGGAAGGACCAGCCACCCTGAGGGACAAGGGACAGGCCAGGCAGTCTTTTACCTTGAGGTCACTGCTCCCACCCCGGAGCTGGGATGGAAAGACTGAAAGTATTTACCATCTGGTGCCTGTCCAAGTGACTTGCAAGAAAAGAATTCAGGGCTGCTGTCCAGTTTCTGATGGCCAGGCAACTGCACCAGAAACCTCGGCTTCATCTGGGACCAGCTGACCCCTCTGAGCTCCCAGCCACGGTGGCCAGGGCAGCGAGGCAGGAGCTGGGCATTGCCCTGGCCAAAGGGGAATGGTGCCTGGTGCTGGGCACACTTAATTCTGCACCATTTCCCAGGCGTTTTTAAGTAGGTTTCATTAGAAAGAAACATTGACAAATGGGACTTGGGGCTGGTTCTGGTCTCGAAGTCTGACGTTGCCAAGAGGCAGGAGCTGAGCGATTACATGAGGAGCAAATGGAGCATCACAACAAAGGAAAGGCTCAACTTGGCCAAAACTACAGAGAGAGCTCATCCTTCAGACTGAGGGGCTTCTCATCAGCACAGCCCAGCCTTGCACCAGCTGTTGTGAAAGGACAACACTTTTACTTAAGAGGCATATTAAACCCATCAAACCCTGGGCAGTACTTCTGTGGGATTTTTTTTTTTCCCCTGCAGTCCAGACAAGAGCAATTCATAACTGTTCCCCTAAATTAAACATTCAGATAACTCAAAGAATAAGACTTTTGTAAAACAAAGCATGGAAACTTCAGCCAGATGAGGTTTTCCATTATTATTTGGAAAACAGTGTCAGAAATCATCACGTATCAAACATTAGGATCCTCTGGGAGTTTATTTTTGGTATCAAACATCATCAAACATAAACTCCCTCTAAAAAATCTCACTAGAAGTTTTATCTTTCAGACAAGATATAATCCCCACATCCTGACCTTGTGTGGTTAGTGAAAGACCCTTGGTATTTTTCATGGACCTGCACAGCTAACTCATGTTTCCTGATCAAATGGCTCATTCTTTTTGACTATCTCTGTTTTTCTTGTGGTTTCAGGCTAAAATAGACAATGTTTTCCCTTCTTGTCTTGCTCAAGGGTGCTGTGTGTTCTCAAGAAGCTGCCATGTCCTTTGCAGCACCGAAGAAGCTGCAAATTGAGGCACACACTGAGGTACAGCCAGTGATGGTTTTAGGTCTCTCCAAACTCACCTTGTCACTGTGCCAGCTCTGCTTTAGAAGGGGGGATGTTTGGTGATGTCTGTGTTTCCTTCCAGCCCTGTTCTCTGTGACTCTGGTAAGACTTTGGAGGATGCAAGTGCTGCAT